GAGCCACCAAGCCCAACTAGAAAAGGACTCTTAATAAATCCCCTGGTCTGATTCCTATACAGGCTGGTGGGAGCACATGGGACAGTTCCTCTTCTCTCACCAACCCTGAAAGTGTGTCCAGCGCCTCTCTTCAGGTGTGGGCACTGCTTACCTGTTGACCTCAGCCTTGGGCTTCAGAGGAAATTCCTGGCATTTAGAAAAGTCCTCTTATCATTCCCTTCTACACATGCTTTTCTGACTGACACCTTTATGAGGAAGGATTTTTCTCATCCCCCTTGACGGATAGGGAAACTGAAGCCCATAGTCAGTTTAGTGGGACAGACAAAACTCAACCTCAGCTCCAAAAACTCCAAAAAGTCTGTGTCCTTCATGCCGTATTGACTCTTATCACCCCCATGAAAGAGAAACAGAGCTTGGCATATACTAGGCATTAATAAATGCCTCAACGCTTATTGACTGGGGTGTGGGCAGTGACTTGGGGAGGGGAGGGTGGGATTGGCGGGGCCTGACCTCGCAGAGAGGCTGAGGCCCAGGCAGATGGAGGCCCCGGAAAAGCTGTCTCTGCACCAGCCGGCTGGGGCCCCCTGCCAGCTCTGCTTCTGCCACTGTCTTGGTCGGCTCTGGGAAGCGGCTCCTTGGCTGGGTTTCGGGGACACAGCTGCCCCCCATCCCACGATCTGGCACTTCTCCAGAGCTGAATGGCTCATCTAGAAATGACATTGCGTCTTGGCTGACAGAACCAGCTGGAGAAATTCATCTCTAGGCCTCCCCCAGGGGTGGGGGTTGAGGGGCGGGAAGGGCGGGCAGGGCCAGTATGCATCCATCCTCCAGTGCTGGCCTGGCATGGGACCCAGTGGTGTCGAGCCTCTGTGGCCAGAGCAGTAGCCCTCCAGAGATGATGCAGGTCCTGCTCTGCCCTGTGGTTCTGCCTGTATCTCTCTGTGGTTCCCCGGATGTTCTGACCTGAGATTCAGGCTCTGGTTCCTCCTCCCTACCAGCTGTCAGTCTCAAAGCCCTTAACATCTCCCCATCGCCTCTGCTCTGTACTGGCTCATGCCTTGCTTTCTTTCTCCAGGACTGTTCTGGAAGCCACCTTCCTGTTCTCCTTGTCTTCTTGCTCACCCAACACAATCTGTTCTGTTCTTTGCACACGCCAGAGCTAGCTTGCTTGCCTCCTTCCTTCCTTCCTTCCTCTTTCTTTTTCTCCACTTCCTCACTCTCTCCCTCCTTCCCTTTCTCCTTCCTTCCTTCTTTTTATTTACTTTCTTGGTTTTTTTTTTAAGATTGGAAAATATAGTTAATTTAAAAAGTAAACTAGAGGGAGAGGAGATTCAAGGAAGGGAAGGGGACCAAAGCCAGGAAGCATGACGACGGCCATAGCTCAAAGAGCACATGGCCACACCAGAGTCTAGTAAGGCAGTGGCCCTTTCTTTCTTTTTAAATGAGATGAGGTCTTGCTATATTGTCCCGGTTGGTCTCAAACTCCTGGGCTCAAGCGATCCTCCCCACTCAACCACCTGAGTAGCTGGAATTACAGACATGAGCCACTGTGACTAGTTTACAAAGTGAGCTTTCTGACGCCATGGTTCTTCCCTGAATAAAAGCCTTGCATGGTTCCCTGGTGCCTTTGGAACTAGGTCTAATTCCTCGTCCTAGCATTTAAAGCCCCTCACAAACTGTCCTGATAGCCTTAGGAGCCTTATCCCTCTGATCTAGTCCTGCCACGCAGGACACTTCCTGGTTCCTAGCTCATGCCTCATGCTTCCCACTCCCTCTTGTCCTCCATCTCCAGCCCCTTCCCCATATGCCAAAAGCATTTTGGTCCTTCAATGGCCAGATTAGAACCTTCTCCCCATGGAGCACTCCCAGATTGCTAGCCTGTTCTCTCCTCCTCCCATCCTTAGTATTTCTCAGTGCTGTCTTCCTTGGGTCCTGGCTACTCATGTTCTGCCTTCTTTCCCAGGCCTGCTGTGAGTTTTAGCAGGGCCCAGATCTGGTTCTGATCTTTCTCAGTACTCCAGCTTGAAGCACAGGGTCAGGCACTGGGGTTGGGTTAGGGTAAAACACTGCTTGCTGAGTCAAGAGTGGTGATGATATCTACATTCGCTTATTTACTCAACAAGGATTTATTGAGTGCCAATTAAATGGCATGCTAGTTTAACTGCTGTGGATATGTCATCAGTGAATAAAACAAACCAAAATGTCTCTGTCTTTAGAGACCCACATTCTAGTTGGGGGAGATAGACAACAAGTAAGATACATAAGTAAAATTCACACTATTTCAGATGGTAATAAACGCCTAGAAGAGTAATAGCACTGGAAGGAGAAATAGGGATTGTGTGAGTATTGGGGG